CATTCATACCTTCGTGGATCATTTAACCTCGGTAGCGAGCACCAAATTTTTCTGACAAGATTTGTCTGCAATGACTTCACACCACAAGCACGTTGTTGTCTCCAAACAAAATGAAAACATTTCCGCTTTTCGATTTCAGTTGCTTACCACGCCAATTTCAGCGCGGAGCTTATAAACCTTCGGAAATCGTTGATGTAAGTTGACAAAGTGTATACATACTCTCTATTTCCTACGCCAGATGTTAACCCTGTATTTCTTGTCTTGTACTTATCAAAAATAAGATCAAAATAGAGGTAGGACTGATGCGATATTGCTAGCTACTCGACTAGCATGGATTAGTAATGTATGAAACCTTTAACATGATATGCCACTTTCACGGTGCAGGAAACAGTTTCTGCCAACTCATTCTACACAACCTAAACTCCAATTGTAAAGAATTATTCGCATTTATTCTATCGTTGACACGTCTCCCGAATTTTTGCACTGATGTACAAAGTCTACAACCAAATAAGTGCCAGAATTAAAACCATCATGCGAATTTTGAGATGAAATATGGCAAAAGATACAATTACTCGGTGCCTAATTAGTTAAATACCACAACCAATCATAAATCGAAGCCGGCAGCCATATTTTAACTAACCACACATACTGTATACGAATTTTCTACCAACGGATGGCACAGATGGACGCTCGATATTCAAATGGTCCACAAGGAATCTCAGGCTTAAAAGATATATAGCAACTTAAACACACCGGTCTGCTCTTAAAACACTACTCAGCTATACGGATGTAAGATTTGAAGTGGCTGAGTATTAGTTCCCGCAGTATTCTACGTTATCGCATGCACATGGTTTCTTTGCATGATCTGACCATCGGCCACAGAGGGTAAGGAATGAATGAGATTTGAATGTTCATTTCGTCAGCCGAGTTATTTGAAAGCCATATGCTTGATGCTACCTGAAAAGCTGTTACTTTTGACAACCGCTTTTATTGCGAAAGATAAGTCAGTATTACAAACAGGATTCATTATACCGTGTTTACGTCCCAGATTCTGGTTTTGACTTCTTTTCTTGCTCTGAATTTTAACAGGTTGGGCGAGTAACTCCTAGAACAATGTTAGGAAGAACTGACTACATACCCTGATGTCTTGATCCTTAACTTTTAACTCAGATTTGTACAAGGAGGGGTCAAAGGGTAGTCCAGTAACCTTCATAGGACCATTAGGCATGAGCAGGACAGTATATCGGAATTGAGCAACAAGTTCATCTAAAACATCCAATATTAAAAGTATTAGTTCTTACCGTCTTTTTCACAGTACACGGAGAGCGGCTGGATAACATCATGCTTCACACACTCAGTTATACCAAGTCGAGCTTTCCGGATATCATCCAGGGCACTGATGGACATATATTTTAACGACTGAACTTACCGAATATTGAAAGGGTACGCCAAGAACTTGTTTGCAATTTCACTATATATTTCTAAAACCATAATTCGTAAGTATTACTTTACTAACGACGCGAAGCCTTCATCTTGAGCTGATATAAAGTTTCGTTCTTTTTGTACAATGTCGTCCGGGCTTTATGCTCTCGGGTTTTCCGTCACCTGTGGATACCATTATGTCTATATTCCACACATCATTTGTGTCGAAAGTGCATTTTTCAACTGTCTTTTTTTGCTCATCTGTAGGGCTGAATATTATGCTTTTTTCTGCATCATAAATCATTCTTTTCATTTGATGACATTGAGTCCCTGGAGAAAAGTGTGAAGTCTGGAAGCATTTTACCTTCCACAGGATGACAGTTGAAATCCACAGTAGCCTTCCCGACAATTTCTGAGGCTCTTGAATTCTGTAAATGTGGAATATAATTATGATACTTTCAAACCTCAATGCTTGGCCTCAGCGACCGCAATACTGCTTCTGCAGCAGTATGAGCAGCAATTATGACATCTGCTTTTCGACCAGTAACTTTATTGTCCTAGAGAAAAATGTTGAGATGAAGGCGAACTTTACCTGAGAGGCCCCAACGACCAAAGTGTGCCCAGCTATTGCAGCATAGCCATCGATATGCGCACCAACATTACTAAAAACGGTCAAAGGTGAACATGATTTACATTTTAACCAGGTCTCCATTCTTAACCTCAGTAGGGTCGTTTTCCTCACTCTCAATAGGAGCGTAATGACATATTATATTATTCAAGCTAATTGCAGTAGGGAAAGCAATGCCTTAAATTTACGTTAAGACACTCGGTCTGGTACCTTTTTTCATTTCTTTTTCTTTTTTAAATAGTTGGGATACTTTCTCATTTATTCGCTTATCCCCAATTCACATAGCTCCACAATGCGAGCACCATCGACACAAAGGCCAATCAACTCCAACAATACCGCTGGTAAATGACCACATAAAAAAACATTGTTTGTCACACTTACCGTTGGTAACCTCTGCTGCCATTTTGTACTTATTAACAACAGTGTCATCAAGAACGTCCTGTTCAGCATCACTTTCTTGGTCAGACATGCCAGGAATCTGAAATGGGGGTGGGTTCAAAAATTCGCCCTTCAACTAACAACTCTGGTCAATCAAAACAAATTTTGCACTGCATTCTTCTGTTTTCGCCATGAAGGAAAAAAATCAGATGATTAAGATCACTTTCTAGCACCATGGTTATTTCAGGAAAACGGTTGTTCAATGAGAATATCACTCTGGAATGGGCAATCCTGGGAGCTTTCTAGATAAACAGATATTGTCTACTGCCTGGAACAAATTATAACTTGGTAGGTGTCAAAATGAATAGCTGCATAAGAATAAAAACAAATAGTAAGCATTCATCTTCCTGAAGCCGTAACGCAACGCTTTTACTGGAGAAGATTGGTCAAATTTCATTAATCCTCATGGATGGTCAACTAAGTGAGTCGATGAAATTCAGGTACGGGGCTCTTCTATCAACAACTTCTAAAGTTATTATGCCTTAAATTCACGACGGCCTACACAACTATCGGATAATGCTTGGCTTCTATGCATCCCAGCAACAGTGATTTAAGGAAGGATATTCATGTATTACCAACCTGCTATCCAAATAGACAAGTGTAGCTATGCTATATCATTCAGACTTGTTAAGATTTATTGTTTTGGGTAGGAAGCTGGGAGTCTATATTAACGCTTTTCCAGCAGATTTCTGTGCTTGTCCAATCATCATTTGAACGGGTCAATTGATGATGTGGGCACCACTTCTTCTGGGAGTCGGTTCCAGGCGTTGATTACTCGACGCGAGAACTAGTACCCTGTGGAGACTATGTTCGTTCTTTGCTTTTGTAATCTCCTGCTATATCCTCTGAGGTGTTCCGACCTGGTAGGAAGTAAAAGAGAAGACAGGTCAGGTCCAAAGTCACTTCTTAGAATCCTGTATGCCATGATAAGTTCTCCCTCTGTCTGCGGTCGGACAAAGTGAAGGGGCTCGGCTCCTTAAGTCGGTCTTCATAGGTGAGGCTGTTCATCGCAAGGATCATACTAGTGGCTGCCCTCTGAACATTTTCTAGAGGGTCTGCGTCACCTTTCAGACAAGGATTGGTTTTCTAATGCTCCAACTTTTCGAGGCTTTCGACCACGCTAACCATAACTACCTCATCAACAAGTTGAGGGTATTAGGAGTGAGTTTGTTAGCAAGTTGATGAAATGGCTATCAAAGCGTATGCTCAACCACCTCGTTGAGGTCGGATGAAGTCTCACGCGCCCAAATAGAAGTGATACCTTAGCGGTGTTTCGACAGGTCCAGTGGTAGGGCATTCCCGGCCCTTAAGTTACACAGATAAGTTGTCTCTGGAGGTTTCTTCTGAAACTTTTCCCTCCACAAATGATGGGAAGCTATGATGTGAAGGCAGAAGTGAAGACAGATGACCTACTTTAAAGGCAGCCCCATCTCACTCCAACCCTTCAAAAGAAGTTATTAACCCTGGAAACTGTGAGGTGGCACACATACCGCATGACGCTCAGCACAAGTTGGCACTCACTGACACAGAACTGAAGGCTCCTTTGGTTGGAGGGGATCCTCCTGCCTTACAGGGTCACAACCTTAAATCTTGTGATAATTGCAACGCACCTAGCACTCGTAACCCTTCTATGTCATCACAATAGTAGGTGTTATCACAAGATTCCTGATATTCCCATAGAACCTACTCAAAGTTGGGTGCTCTAGTCTCGATTCCTTTACTTAAAAAGGGCAAGAATCACTTGGGCTGCATCCAGAGGCAGTTCAGTGAACATGTGAGAGGATCTAGGCTCAACCCATAAGAGGAAAGCGTGACGGTTTGAGAAGTGACATATAATCCAACCATCAATGTACAACATCTTCTTACAAGCCAGTGTAAACCAATTCGTTTCTTTGTGCCCACTTTCAGGTCTTTCGAGGTGGTTCCAGGTTTTCGGTGAATTCCGGTACAATTAGTCCACCCAACCGTCCGCTGTACATCTGGTGGGCCAAGTGGGAGGTTGGTTGCCAGTTCATTCCGTGGGGATTCTATGATTGCGGTACGATCGCTTTTATTATACCGTCGTTGACTGGACCGAACTGATCGGTCTCTACTGGCATGTGGGCTCTTGCGTGGATGTCTCGACACGGCCTGTGTCCTTATCGTAGTAAAGATGGATAGGACAGGGGCCCGCATGTCAACTGAGACCGACTAATTCGGTCCGATCAACGACGGTATACCACAGGCAATTGTACTAAGACCGTGCCCGTCGCACAAGAAGTAGGTATCGTGGCTGAGGGGTGAAGTGGGTAACGCTCTGGCGTTTGAAGCGATCGCTCCCGAGTCCGAATCCTCATGACGACAACATCACTCACCTGGAGGCAGGTACATCCAACTGACGAATCTTAAATAGGACGAAGCGCTCATCCTGGCTTCCACTCTGAGTCACTATCCATCTTTGTTGTATGATTTTCCCAAGGAGTATGGTGCAGGTGGGTTCTTCGAATTCCTTGCCACCAGACGTTTGTTCTGCCGGTTGTAAAATGGGGATAGAAGTGGTGAAAAGGTGTTCGGCGAAAACAAGGGAGAGGAAGTTCTAGGGGAAATCAAAGTAAAAGGAAGTTGAACGGAAGGCAAAGGGAAGCCCAGGTAGGTAAATTCGTAAGAGATACTAGTGGTAAAGGGGACCTTGATAAACACAGCCAGATCACGGAGCTGGGGGAGGAGAGAAGGGGCACTTAAGGTCATAGGACAGATTATCGGGACAGAAATAATGTTGTTTGTTATCGGGGGTACAGGACTGGAGCAGACGCCTGACAGTAAAATACAAGGTTAAGTCAATTAAGCGATGATGGTGGCTGTAAAAAAGGCCCGGTATGCAGTTGGTTGCTCTGACTTTCGGGGAATTAGTTGGTTGTATCAATCTAGTCTGTATCCCAGCTTGATAAGCTCAAGCCGTGCGCTGATGTGTAGTCGTCCAACCTCCTCTTTCGGCTGTCGACAGATGGAGCAATAGCAATCTCTGCAGGCAGTGCTTTGCAGTGACCGTAAACTCACAGAGAAAAGTGTCTGTATGGACACGAGCAATCATCCTTTGATGGGCAATTCTCCTTCGGCTACCACGAAGGTTGCTACGGTGGCCGTTCGCCAGTATTCTGCTGTTCGGACGATTTGCGTTACCAAATGTTTCGTAAGCCGTTATCAAATCGTCACGTAACCTACGGTGGCTGGGTAAAGCATTAAGCCTTTAAGCCTCTCTTCGTGTGGCTTTTGCCATATTTTCACAACGCTCTTCATGGCTCGTCACAAGGCTTTCTCCGAAAGGTTCACATTTCCAGTCTGTCAGTGGGTATTGGTCTCGGGTATTTCTCCCTAGTGATGTGAGAAAGCTGCGGACCACAGAGAGGGTAGGATATTTTTCGAGTGTCAACGGTATGGAGGAACCTGATCCAGCATTTATCAAAGTTAAATACTGGTCTGTTACTATCCACCTGCTGTATATGCTACCTGAGATCACTCTTCAGTGCGACTGACTTTGTTTCCGATGTCACAGCTCTCCATGACTTAATATCGTCAGAGTAAATTAAAATCCGGGAACTGAGACTCAATGGGAGGTCATTCACAAAAAGAAGGAATAGCAGCGAGCCCATAATCTCTCCTTGTGGGGCACCAGATGATACACTCCTCCAAGTTGAGCGAACCCTACCGACTTCTGTGTCGAAGTCCCCGCCGTTCACATGGTCCGGGAGCCTGTAGAGCACTCAGCCGTTGGTTCCTGACCGTGACATTTCGCGAGTGAGAATGTCGTGTGAGACAGTGTCAGCAGCAAGATCCGGGGGAATCACATAACCAGCAACTCTGCGGTCCCAGCAAGCCGTCAAGTCATCATTGGCTGCCAGAATGTCTGAGTCGCAGGACCTGCGCTTTCTTCAACCATGCTGAGCATCTTTAAGTGCTCCCCCCTTGTACAAGCGTTTTCTGATGAGGTTGTCTACCACACCCTCAACTACTTTCGACAGAACCAGTAAAACTACCACAGGTAGATAGTATTTCGGGCTGTACCTGTTTCTTCCTTTGAAGATGGGGGAGAGAAAGGCACGCCCCCACCCTAGTAGAAGCATGTGCTTGTCTGCGAAGTGTTGAAACACATTACAGAGAGGACTAAAGGGAGCACCCGCCGAATGTCATTGCCCACGTTCACTCACCTGCGCGGAGTCCTGACAGTTGTTCGAAGACCATAGCAAAGGTTACTGTTACTCCACACAGCTGTTCTGCATCAAGTAGTGCTGAGGGTTTTTCAGGCAGTTGATTTTTGAATTGGATGACAACATCTTGTGTACCAAAAGTAGGGCCAAAGGCTTCTGCAATCTCCAGTCCAGACAGGTTCTCTTCGTTCAGAACTTTCATCACACAAGCTCCGGGCAGGTAGACGTTTTATTTGCCATGGATCGATAAAGGTTTTTTATGCAGCCCAAGGCTCCTGGCCAACGTTTATCTGGAATGACCTCTTGCTCCTTAATCTCACTCCGATTTTGCATCGATTCCTTATATGCGCTACGATCTGGCTTTTTTCTGGAGATCCTCCAGCTGCACCACGCTTTCCTCTTGGCCTTCAAGGGGCGTTCAATGCCTCGTTTCAGCCATGAGGTCTGTTCTTTGTACTACTTTGACGAATGAGGCGTTTTTAGAGACAGCCCTCCCAATTATATCCTTACTAGTTCCTAATGCTGGTCAACCGACAAAGTAATCCACTGCTGGGGCCACAGTGATGTCGACAGATATCGATTCATCTCAAAGTTGCCT